CGACACAAACCATTCTATGATTCTATGAAACAAGAAATTCTTTTGACCTTACTGTATTCAATATTGGTCCAGACCAATCCAGGAGCTTGCAAAAAAGTTTCATTGCAAAATAGAAGTTTTATTTCAGTTTTGGTGTTCAAAGTGAGTTCCTTGACACTTTCTCCAGAAGCTCTATTCTCTAATTATTGACTTACTCTAGTTGGCTTTGCTGGAAGGCCTTCTAATTTTTCCAATGTCATTTATGTAATGAGAGGACCATTATTTGTATGAGAATTACTATCATCTGTCTTATTAAAAGCTCATTCACTTACATATACTGTATTTCCCTTAGGTTTCCCTGAAGTTATTAGCTATCCCAGCCTTTACCCCTGAAAACAACATTGTATATGAAAAATGCTCCAAATTTCCCTCCTTGTGTATTCCCAGTTGTTCCTCTTTATTCTCTCTAATGGACTTCCTTAACAACTCTGTTGAACATTAGCAGTACCTTTTAAAGAGATTTTTTATGCTTCTATTAATTCTTGCACATGGGAAATGATCATGTTGCATGTAGTTCCTAATTACTTCCAAAGATGAAATTGTGCTCTAATAATCTACCTCTAGAAATTCCCACTTTTCAACACATGCCGAATAGCATGTCACCTGTTATGAAATGTGCAGAAAATGATAACCTGGCTTGTTAAGGAGTTTTACTGAAAGTGCTATTGCATCTGTAGAAAGTGCTATTGCATCTGTAGTCCAAAGTTCTTATGAGTATGCACGAGCACTGAATTCCATTTTTCAAGTTTCTACATACTTATTATTATATAATTACCTTATATAAGAATTTCACTTATTTTGAAAAGCATTATTGGCATTTCATCACAATCAGTCAGAAATAGCTTTCTGAAAGATAGAAACTTTTGCTACCCTGTTACTCTGACTTGAAGCACTAAATTTTATTTGAACATAACCTGTTTCAAAAGGCAGTCCTTGCCCCACTGAAATTGTAAAAGACAGACCATTTAAATTCTGTAGGTGTGAAATTAGTGGAAAAATTTTCCTTATAATTTGGTCTCACCAAAGAAACTTCTTTGTGCCCATTTTTTAACATTTTAAATTATTTTTTTTGGTGGGGATAAATGTTATTAAGACCTTAATTCTTCAATAATATGTGTTTAATATGTGTTTAAGTAGGTGCTAAATCAAGCAAGATCTACTTTTTTTTTTTTTTTTTTTTTTTTTTTTTGAGCCAAGATAAATCAAAGGAAATAATTTTCTTAATGTAACTGAGGTGATTTGAGGATAAATCCACTGCTGGTTATAAAAGCTCAGACGCTAATGTGATGAACTCTGCTCAGAAGCTGTTAAATAAAGAAATTAATCCACAATTAATGTGTTGCCAGTTCATTCCCATAACAGTGATTGCTTCTCTTTCTTCAGTTTCTGACCCTGCCACAAAACTTTCTCAGCTACCCATGTAGTCTAGGATTTAACTTGGCATCTCTCAAAAGTTTCAGTGAAATTTGTTCCATTGTTGCCATTGCCTACCATCTCCTATTTATACTTATACACTACTACCAGCAAAATCTTTTCTAAAATTGGAATTTTGGAACCACGTGGTTAAAAATTATACATTGGTGAAAATCCAGTGGGATTTTCTAAAAGGAAATCATGTGACACACATCTAGTGAAATTCATGAAAGGAATCAATAGGCATATTAGCAAGAGAAATTCAGCTGATGTAGTCTGCTTTGATTTTCAGAAAACATTTCACAAAGTCTTTCACCAAAGCTTCTTAAAAAATTAAACTGTCATAGAACGACAGAAAACTTTACACACATAGAGAAATCTGTAACATAAAGGAAAATAATAGTAGGAGACCAAGGTCAGCCATTAAAGTAGTAGAATGCCACCCATGTGATTCTCCATTGGTATTTGTCATTTCACATAATCACAAATGAATTATAAAAGGAGATGAAATGAGGGAGGTGGATGAGTTATTCATGGTAACAAATAAATTATTTTTAAGAAAGATGATGGTCTGCAGCCAAAGAAGAGTTCAAAAAACTGGGTAAATTGGTAATAAAAAGGCAGACTAAATTGAATATGAATTGAAAATGGTGCACAAAGGGAAAAAGATATTTTATTTTCTATTTATATTCTATATATTCTAAATATATGTATATATATAAGGGATCTAAACTGACTGTTTGGATTTATAATGAGTTCTATATAATGTTAAGCTAATTATTAATAGTTGTCAAGAAAGCAAATAGAAGTTTAGGTTCTATTTCAAAATGAACAGAAATCAGAAGTGGAAGCCTTGTAATGTCATAGTTAAATCTATGGTACTCTTGAATACTTGTTCAGTTCCAGCCTTTCTATTTCACAAAGAATATGATAAAATGGAGAAGATTTAGTGAAGGCTGAAAGTGATGTTCAAAGATATGGTATGGCTTTTGTATGATGAAAACAAAAATAGGTAATTTAATAGTTTTCAATCTGGAAAAGAGTAAGATGAGCAGGGAGTATGATGAAGGCCTGTAAAATTCAAAGTGGCATTGAAAAAGTATATAGGGGATAAAATTGTTCTGTCTCCCAAAAGAAAAAGTAGAAAGCATCAAAGAAACATAGCAGAAGATTAAGAAAAAATAGGGGTGGGTGGGTGGGGGGTGGACCCTTTAATGCAGATAGTATCTATTAAATAGTTTACATGGAAGAGATTACTGGTGAATGCTTTGGGTACTGAAACCACTCTAAGATTTAAAAAAAGGACTGGAAGAAAAAAAAATGTCCATCAAGAACTATTGAATACAAAATGTTATTAAATTCAAGATGTCTCTGAACTTCAAATTACTGAAGAACTGGCAAGTATTGCAGGAAAGTAGATGGTAACATCCACTTGTTCAATTTCTTCTGCAGGCTGTCCTAGTCACTCACAAGCAGGCAGCTGAAGATAGAGTAGTTAACCTTTAAATACACAAATGAATGATTAGCTTCTTGCTCTAGAAAGTGTGTAAATATGAATTCATCTTTAGTGGAGACTGAGACACCTGTGCGAGTTTTCAGAAGTAGATTTTTAAGTCCTCATAGAATTTTATTAGTAGAAAAATGAAATGGTGTTGCATTACAGGTACTTCCCAGGTCCGCAGGCTTCCCAGATTCAGACTAAACCGGATATTGATCACTATCTCAGGTGTCTAAATCTTTTTGTAGGCATCACTCAGGAAATCTAATTCACAGATTAGTTTAAGACATGCTAAATATGAAAAGTATCCATATCAAAGCAAATATTCTAATCCACTTATATTTAGATTTAAGATCTAATATGGTGGAATGTGCCTTTTTTTCCCTTTTTTTCTTCTTTTTTTTTTTTTTTTTTCTAAATCACTTTACGTAAGAATTTCCAAAGCAAAGTAAATATATATATGTGTTATATATATATATATATATAATTTAAGGTTCTGAAATCTATGTTTATGTATTATTTTTCGGTAAATATGCAGTAAGATATGTACTAGCTCAGCCATCAAAAGCTTCATTGCTCCCTAATCCTTTAATAAATGTCTACTATAAATCTTAGAAGCAGATTATGCACATGCCAAATCCATTTATATAGTGGCTGAGTAGATTTAAAGTCCAAAGATATTATGTTGATAGCATCGCTTTGCTGGTTATAAACAAATGTAAAGAAATGTGACATTCACTATGAGCTATTTGTTGTTTTCCAGGTCTCACAAACCAAAGTTCTGATTAGATTGCACTGTAAGCAGGATGTTATTAAAAGCTATCTTTCCAATTTTTTGGACAAACAATTCATGCTCAATTGGATCTGCCAGTCTACATTTTTGTCCCATTTCAGGTATTTTTCATTGTGATCTTAACACCAAAAGGAATAGGACGACACAACAATTTTCAATTTTCAATTTCAGAGCTTCTTAGCTTGCAACACAGACATATTAGCTTTCAAAAATTTTTGCACTGCTGTAAAAGCACAGTCTAGACCTTAAGGATTCACCCTTACTACATCATTATTCAGATGATTACAATGAGAAGTAGATGAAGACCTTAGAATTCAGAGGTTTAAGAGACTTTTCCTGCTCACAATTCATTGTTAAAATTTGTATTGATTTTCATGTGAAATGACTGTGCCCCAAACCTTTGAAGAAAAACTGTATTGTTGCTGGGTTTTACTAGGAACATCTCAGAGAAAGAAAAAAAAAAAAGACACAACCTGAATTCAGCTTTTATTCTTTATGTTTACAGGCAATTTGGGCATAAAATAGAATATTCTGGGAACTGGGCATTTGCATTATATGGTTACAATTTGGTTATAGTTAGACTATTATTGTTACAACAATGTAATTTGCTGTGTAGACTTTTTTTTTTTTTTTAACCTGTTTAATCCATTTATATTTTTAAGTACAGTAGTATTACATTAGTTATATAGCTTAGGTTTTATGTTAATAAATATCCCCATGCAGGTGGACCATTGAAACCTAGCCAGAATGTGGATTTGATTTAATTTTGAACTGGGAAGTTGGTATTCAATGTCTGGGATTCTCTGATTTGACTACTATTGTGTTTATACTGTAGCAGAACATTGGTTTTAAAAGAATACATAGCTATATATTTCTATGTATGTTTAATTAGACAACAGATCATGTCTACAGGCATGATCTGGATTTGCTAGTTGCATTTAGATCCTAAAACCTAGCCTTACTTTGTCTGGATTGGGGCACAAATTGCCTTGTAGGAGAGGTAAAGATTACTATGTTAGACTCCCAGCCAGAGGCCTTGTTCTCCTTTCTGTTCTGGTATAATTAGTCAGATCAATGAAAATCACAGATAGTTTAATTTAAAATTCTTGACTTTAAAGAGAAACAGAGGTGAAAAATTGTTTGTGCAGATGGCTGTGGTCTCATGATTTATCAACGAGGCAATGCACTTATATGTGAATACTTTCCCACTACCCATTACATGTGATTTAATCAAATTTGTTTGACTTTACTCTGAAGAAGGACAGAGAGAAGAGCAAATGTCTGTCATCAACCTTGATTGGGATACATCAACACAGCACCACTTCAATTCACTCCTACAAACACCTGAGCTACTACTGTTGTGCCTATATCCCAGCGTTTCACTGACCCAAGGACTACAGAGGTAAGAAGCTCAGTGCAATGGGGCAAGTACACCCAGTCTCAACCCTGGTCTGAGCATTCATACTGGATGCACCCAGACCCCATGTGCCAAATCACTCATGTTGCACTGAGCTTTGGTCAGTATAGAAGGATTTATCAGTCAGAATGAAGACTATGCAATTTTTGGTTTCTTCCTTACAGTTATGCAGCTTCTAAGGAATTCTGCTTTGAGAGCCTGAAATTTAAGCTAACAGTACAAGGAAGGAAGTAGCAGAAACAGAAACTTGAAAAGGACTTCCATGAAATATCTTCTTAGACTAACTAATTTCTACCATGAGTATTACCTGGAGTGCCTTCTATGATGCTTAATGAGAAAGGTGTTTAAAAATCTCTTGGTGGCCATGTAAAACACACTAACTTGGGATAAAGGGAAGGCCTACCATTAATATCCATATGTCTCTTTTGGCAGCAATGTCATCAGCTCAATGTTCTTTTATATCATCACAGATGTATCTCATTATTAGTATTTATTGAATCAGCACTGCACCACAGCTAGGCAATTTGGTCTTCCAGAGCACTGATAAAAAACCTTTGAGGCATTGGTGCCAAAGGATGACATTTTTATTGGTTGTCCCATGCCAGCTCCAGCAGTATGTCTGCTGTCCCTCTGACCCATGTTTAGCCTGATTTTCCCTCCATTATTCTTCTTTTTCTGCTCCCCTCCACTGAATGACACAACACTATCCCAGTGATGTTGTTCTCTGGTAATCCCTCTGTTGCATAAATCCTGATAGTTTCAAGAATCACATTCTAAAAAATGAGCAAAACCTCATAGCAAAGCTTAAGGGATTTCCGTGACTGCTGAAACTGCATCAGAACATTATCACATCCAGAAGCAAAATTACAAAATAATGTTATCTAATGATTTGACAGTCTTATTTCCCTACAGATCTGCTCAGAGAAAACCTCTTGCTACGAAAATGCATACTCAAGAGTAACAGTTTACTTTTCAATTTATTTATGCATTTAAAAATGCAAACAATTATGGAACTGTATGCATTTGAGAGGCATTGAAAGCTCTAATCAAATAAAGTCATGCTTTTTTTTTTCTTGCTTTTTTTTTTTTTTAACAACACAAATAAGCTCAAAATATAGGGTAAAATGAAATATCATTTTTGTTTGTTTCTTTCTTTTTGAGGTATTAGGCATTGATAAAGGCAAAACTACTGAATCATGCCTTAATGCGCAAATAGCACTTCATGTTGAGAGTTTAAGGTAAGATTTCAGAAAGCAAGAAATTATTTTTGGTGATAATACACAAAATTTAACATTACAATTCTCAGCCTGTCACCTGAAAGAATGGAAGATAGTGAAATCCTTTCCAGTGAGTTTGAAAGAGGCTGCTGTGTATTTACTCAACACATCTTTGGTAGCAAAGTCGACTACCAAAATTTCCAGTAATCTTACTCCCAGCTGCTGACTCCTATCCCAGGAGTAGTTTATTACCCCTTTGGCTGTTTTGATACAAAAGTATAAACTAAATGGTTGAAAACATGATCAGAAATAAGTAAATAAACACAATTTTTTATATTTTTTTTTTAAACCAGGACCTTTCCATAAATCTTCTTTATAAAAAAATCCCAGTTATGCTGACTCAAGTGTATAGGCTACAAATTGTATTGGAGGACTTGATATAATCATCCAAGCATAAGCACTAACTTTCATAAGCACTTTTTATAAAACAAACGATTAAGCTCAATGAAAACTAAGACTCAGAGAAAATAATTTGCTCTTCCATCATCAGATCTAGCAATGCAACTCTGTAGTCCTAATTTTCACTTTCCTACTTAATTATATAATATGTCTGAAAGGAAAGGCTGTGAAACTTTCGCTAAAGGACTTTACTTCAGAATGGACAATGGAGCTCTTCTTTCTACTCTGAAGATCTAGATTTGAATTTAGGTACAGCTTACAGTGAAATTCTCTGTACTAAATAAAGCCTGTAATAAATCTTTGTCACAGTATTTGCCCTTTCAAGGAATATATCAAGAAAGAAAAATCCATGTTTACATTTGTTTAAACACGTATCCTAAAGCTCGGCATAAATATTGCTCATTGCTGCATAGTGGGCCCACATCACCATTATGAGCTCCAAACTTCAAGCTCAAAGTGAGTTTTAATGTGATTTATCATTTGCAGTTCTGATTGTGATTAGCTAAACTCAGCCAAAATGTAGATCCTTGTAGGGCTTTTTATTTCTATTTTCTGTAGTGTCTTCCCTCTGATTTATTTCACATTGGCCTCATTTTAAATCATTTTTAATTTCTCCATTGATTCTAATTAAACTGCTGCTAGGGCTTATGAGCTTCATTTAATTAAATTAATTAAGGTATTTATTTATATAATAAAAGATAACCAACTCATCAAGCTTGCTTTCCAAAACTCTCACAGCTCTAATAGAAAGAAATTCAAAGACACCTATTTTAAAATTAAGTGCCTGCAGCAAAGTAGCACTGTGATAAAGTAACAGAACCCTGACTAGACAAATACTTCACAATCTTTTGTTGCTGTTGTCTCCTTTTTTATTTGTTTTTAAGGTATTGCTGCATTTCTTTAGTGTTTAGAATGATTTTTGTAATGATGCTGTATTAGGAAAGTCATTTGCTCTAAAAAGAAAGTTCTTAATCACACAAGCTGGAGGAACTTTTTTTTCACATTCAGGGTTTATGATGTATAAGTGAGCATTTTTGTTTGAGTTCTCTAAGACTCATACAAGCAGAAGATAAATTACATAACATGTTCAGGATTGCAGAAATAATTTCATTTTTCTGATATAATTATGACTGCTGAGGAATTGCTTGGGATACAATGGTGTGAATTCTGATCCCTGACCTGAGTACTTTGCTCAGTGAAAGATATCCAGTTTTAGCACTGTGTAATATCTCAGAGAACTACTTAGGAGTTTGTGAGTTCTATGGCTAAATCAGATAGCTTTTATTTCACTGCACTCTGCAGTTGTGCTTCTTTGCAGTCAAGGCATATTCTACTGCTCTGGAGACAAAAAGACACTTTCTAAATATGCCTTTCTTGGTTATGGACATCCTACAGCCAGACCTGCATTAATCATTTCCATCAACACAGCAAAAAAGTTATTAAGTGTTTGCCATACAAACAAGATATAATTTCACCAGCTGGATGCTGCCAGCCTCTTTACAGCACACTGCTCTTGTCACAGTGGTTGGGCACAGTTTTAAAATACATTTACTTTAGCCTCAGGCTAGTGTGAAGCCTTTTTGCTTGTTTGCTTTTCTTTTACTTTCTCCCAGTATCGTGAAAGGTGCTAAAAGGGAAGACCTTGATGAGCCGTGTAAAGCCAGGATTGGTTAAAGAGTATTGATAAAAAATAACTCAACTCATCTTTCCAATTGATTTATTTGTGACAAATAACATCCTTTTTTCTTTTTTTTTTTTTTTTTTTGAAAAAGAGATCATGGCCTGCACTTCATTGGTATACAGGAGACATGCATGGAACCGTGAAAATAACTGTGTGTACACATTCTCCTCCACTGCAACAAGACCATCACCTGTTTCATAATGATATGATGGACCAAATCACACCCATCTATTCTGGACAATATCTGAAACTTACACACATGCAGATAATAATGCTCTACTCTGTCTAGTAGACTGTTAATGGACAATGATAAGCAGAATTAACTCTAAGTCATTATGTTAAAACCTTTCCCATGGAAAAGAAATAATGGGAATTATGGTAAATTTTCTGCAAGCTCAACAGAAGGCTGAAGTTATCTCAAAAAAGATTCAATGTAGAAAAAGATTCAATGTAGTAGTGTCTGATATATGCAGTATAGTAACCATATATAATAAACATTTATAATGGTTATTGATATATGTTTTCCCACCATAGATACAACTTTGTGGAACTAATTCCAGAATAAGGCAATACTGCTGCAATTAAAAGCTGTCAGAAACTCATTTATAGGCTCAGAGAGCATGAGAAAGAGATGGAACAGTTATCGCTGGAGAGTAACAAAGGTTTTATCCATTCATTCCTCTCTTTCTGATCTATTTCATCTGTACTTGTTTGTTTCCATTAAGTATAATTTTAATTACAAATCATGGTCCAGCTCAGCTGTTTTCTATGTATTCAGCCATACCAAGCTGGGCAGTTTTTTCATGATCTACCAAAGATTAAGTAGGGTTAAACTAGGTCATCACTAAGGTGGAATGAAACCCCTGATGCTAAAATGATTTTTTTAAGAGACTGAGCTTTTCTACTACATGTCTGCTTGGAAATTTGCAGTTACTTTCCAGTAACATATTTGGACATACAGATTTGCTTTATTTAAAATGATAGAATGTTATTTAATTTGACAAAAAAAATACAAAATAAATGGATTTATATATATTTTTTTATCTTTTCATTAAAATATAATTACACAGAAAAAAAAAATCAGTTACAATAGTTTTGATAATGACTTCATCTAACGTGTTTCAGGGTTATCATTCAAGTCCCTTATTTGGCTGATTTCTAAAACTGACTGTACAGATTCATTTCCATCAGTTGACCATATTTTGCTATGGTTTTCATAAGCAATAAAGTAATTTTTTAAAAGACTATACCAGAAACCAGATGGAGTATGCTTTCCGTGTCCCTGAGATAATAGTTGCAGATTCAGTTGAAAAATGTTTCCTATTTCTGCACTATGCAAAGCAGCAAAATTTTAGTCTACAAGTTTAGCCTTTAAGTATGGGACTTATGTGCTGTGTATACCTGAGAGCATATTCACAGTGGCAAATAAAACAGGGCCTGGCAGTGTTTGATGGTTTTAAGTCCAAGTGACACAGGCTGTATCTGTGCTTGACAGAGGTCGGCCCTGGGTTCACAAAAGTTTCGGTTATTGTTAGTTCTACTTTATCTGCTTCCTGCTTGTCTAATATTAATATAAGGACCTTATTACAGTGCACTAGAAAGTTTTTAAAAGCATTAACCTCAGGGTGAGCGCTGCTTGCCACTGGTTGTGGTATGAAGGCCTATAATGTTAGCTGGAGAAAAAAAAATAAAAATACAGTAATATTGAATAATGCTGTAAGAAAAATAATTTAAAAAAGGTGAGCAAAACCTGTGGTGGCTCTTTGCATATTGCCTGTTCAGAATGTTTTATCCTCTTGGCCATACAGAAGTATTGCCTTGAAGAGAACCACTTCAGACAGGACAAAACTAAACAGGGAAGATGCTAATAACAGGTGAGGATGATAGCTTGCCAGTTCTGTGCCTTAGCTTTGCTTAGTACACTAAATTATATATAACCTGCTAGGCTACACAGATGCATTTATTTATTTCCCACAATGTTATGCAGTTTAAAACAAAATTATTAATGTGAATATAGCAAAAATAAATTATCTTAGACGAACTATTTCCCTTTAAAAAAAATAAAAAATGACTATTCTAAAGAATTTTAATGATATTACATGAATTTATGCAGAGTTTCACATGGCTCCTCTAAACATCTGCGTTTAAACTACCAATTATTAAAAAAAAAAAAATCTTCATCTAGTTGCATATTTCTGCTTATAACTACATGCTTTTTCCATCAAGTGTCTCCTCAATACAACAACAGACAGATATCAGTTACTGTCTTTCCCTAATCATTTTCATGCTAATAATTACTCAGGTGAAAAATAGTTATTGGATTTTGTTAATATCTGCTGTCTCTAAAACAAATGAATGTGCCTACAACTAGAGCGTAGCACAATTGTTGAAGATGAAATGGAGATGGATCTCAAACTATCAATATATTTTGCAGAAATTAGCCAAAAGTATGCTTCCTATTTCAAATGTATTGTTTTACAGCTACAAGAGCTTAAATGATATTGGAGCTTCTTTCCTGGATTTATAAATGTGATTCTCATCTGGCCTGTAACATGAACATTCTTTGTAGGGTAATGCAGGGATGAAGAGCTGGAGTACTCAAAGATACTTCAAGCCAATCTTAACTGGAAACAGGGACTCAATAGATGTCACAGGATCATGATACTGGGTGTGATGGCATCTCATTCAAGATAACATTACAGTCAGTTTTCAGATCAAAGAAGGTATGAGCAGGACAACCCCGCATACTGATGGTCCTTAAGTCAGTATGAACTTAAGTCAGTATGAAGATCCCTAACTTTGGAGTTACAAAAACTTAGGCTGTATTGTGCAAAACTGTAAACATCCTGAGAACCAAATTGAATATAGGCTAGATGGAAACCAATAAAGCTTCAGGATGAGAGAACTGAAGATGCTTAATGCCAAGTAATGTAACTTTTCATCTCAAATAATAGTTTTTCTACATTAAGGGATATGAGCCTGTTGATATCTACTGTTAGTAGACGTCAGAATGGATGTTTAAACACCTGTCTGGATGATCCTCCAAACAGAAAAGCCAGAAGCTGCTCTACCTGTATGTTGACCTTCCATATTAGAAATAATGCATATAACTGCCTTTTGGGAAGTAAATATAGCACTCTTATTGAGATCCATACCTACTTATTGATGGTGTTTCAGCAGTCATACTGTATCTGCAAAAACAATGTTGACCAAACCTTCTCAACAGCTATGAAAGGAAGAGTCACTATAGGTATTCCAGTCTCCAGTCCTTTAGCTGCTAATGTAATAGATTTAAGAACAAACACAAGACATTGTTCAATAAATTCTCAAGTTTGGAAACTGTTATTTTCTCCCTCTGAGAGTAAAGTATTAAAAATAATGATACATAGTACATGATTTCCTCATAAGAGTATTGTAAAGCATAACTCTTCCACTCACTACAAAAATATTAACACTTTAAGCTTTGCATCTTCCTTGTGACAGATCTGCTACATTCATCTATCTGCCTACTGTACAAACTGAAATGCAGTTTTTTCCAGAAAGGACTGAGCTTTTATTACAGTAGTCCACAATTACTTTCTATTCACTGTATTCTATGAATGAACAATGTTTTAGGACAATATAAAAGTAAGACAACCCCCCAAGAGTTACCTATTATTCTTAATAATATTATTATTATATGCTGTTACTGTATGTCCTTATTATTATATTACCTTTATTGTTATTTTTATTATTTTTAAGATAACTCATAGTCTACTCTATTACCAGTCTCAGGAGCTAGATGGTGGTTAATAGAATGAAGAAAAAGCAAGCACATTCGAAGGAATAGAAGTACCTGTTAGTAAACAGTCCCAAGATGTTCATTCATGGTTATATGAAATGGCTTTGCTATTGAAAAGGTTCTCAGCATCCATTCTTTCACCAGCTGCTGCATATGTTGCTAATTGGACTATAATAAGCAGGAAATGTCATGCTGTCTTGAAAAAAATTACAATTATCATCCAACCTGTGTAAGTGGATGTCCCCCATGTCCCCCAGTATACCAAGGTGCGTACCCTACCACAGCATAGTGCTGCTTCAGCTCGTGACCTGCTGTATGTCCCACTTGAAATGATTTTCAAATCTTAATTCCCACTCCTTTAAAATCCTTAAAGGCCAAGTGTGTAAGTATTGCAGGATCATGACCTTTGAGCATTTAGTTTTGAACGTGAAAATGAAAGAGATGTCAATAAATCCCAAAGCACAGCACATCAGTCAAGGCGCAAGGTATCCCAGAAGCCCAAGACTGTTACCACTGGGATATTATATAGTGAGGAGAAATCCAGACTTCATTCATATTATAGGAAGATTGCAGTAAATTACAAATTAATGTTCTGTAGTTAATGAATTTAATTGATTTCAAGCAGAGTAAAGGAGTTAAGACTGGTATTCAAACAGGGAGAGAGTATTTAAATTTAGCTATCATTAGCTGGCACAAGTTGTGCTCACCAAATGTCATGACTTTTTACTCTCACAGTATGTGGTGAGGCCATGTGAAGTGTTTTAGATTCATTTCCTTCAACAGAGTGGGGAAAGGCTTGTAAATTTTAGACAGGATAACAAATGATAAATATAAGACTTTTAATTGTAGTAGAGGGGAATATATAACTGTCCTGAGTGGAAGTTTATGGCACTGGTTAGGTTTAGAAGGCTGAACCATAATCCGCGATGGATCTTGTTCTTTACAAACACCACTGTCAGGTTCTAGTTTTCCCAGAGGAAAACCTGCAGATGCACAACTATGTTCTTTAGCAGATGCATTGCTTGCTAAAGAGAAAGAATATAAAGAAATGAAAAGTCAGGAAAAAAAGTGTAACTATGATGAACAGGTGTTATTTTATAATCTTTCACTGACAGTATTTTAATGATTGCCAATGGTTCTATGCTTTGCATCTTAGACATAAAAGATTACCATATTGATTTCTTAGTATACTAGCCAAACTTTTTTTTTTCCAGTGATACCACTCTGAGCTTGCTACTACTATCTCTGAATGAAAATGTAGTATCTTGTATATATTTCTTTTATTTTATTAAAGAGAAGTTTAAGACTAATGGTTTACATCATTAGATTTCAGTGTTAATGTCATAGATTTTCTGTTAAAACTGCACAAGTGTAAGATAAACATGTGGGATAATTAAAATAACACTGATTCCCTGCTTCATGCAGCATCTTAGAGATTCAGTGCTTTAATGTCTGTAAAACATTTAAAGATATCGTGGAAAAAATACACTTTGTAAGTGCAGAGTGATATTCAAACGACATGTGACAGGTATGAGAACAGACAGATTCTCAAATACCAGAGAGTAATGTTGAAGTCATATTTAAAATTTAAGTGACACAAAAGGAATACAAATTTATGCTCTGAAACATGCTTGCTTACTCTTTATGTCTTCACTGTCTTGTGCATATTTGTGCAATAAATGTTTCTCTGCATAATCTTCTGGGAACAGTTTTTCTCACTTCAGTCTCTAGTATACAAATGCACACATCTGCATATGCATTTGACATTTGTTATTTCTTCAGGAAATGCCACAACCAACATAAAAAATGTTCGCTGTCCTTCTCGGAGTAGAACTGCAATTTAATCAGTCTGCTTTTTTATTATGATTACTACTATTTCTAATTCCTTATAATTATATTTTGAAAACAAAGCAGCAGCTACAAGATCAAGTCACAGAACCTGGTTCAGTCTCACTCACATAAACACATAATAAGTATTGTTTCTGTTCTGTAGGGAGCATAAGTTAAAGGACAGAAGACGAATAACGACACCTAGATGAGAATTGAAGGGAAACAGCATAGAGGGAAACAGCAAACAAAAACACAACTGTTAACATAGTTTAACCACAGATCCATCTCTAGGATAACACCATAATAAGATTTTGTGTCACAGTTCAGCAAAAGTCATGCAAGTATTACTATCACTCAAAAGCTGAAGTCTTTCCAAAAATAACTCAATGCATATGTCCTCACTACACTTATAAAAGTAGCACAAGATAGTAAGGACATAGCCCATTTGGCCTTCACATGTGTTCTTTTATCTGCCTGTGGCTTCAAGGCACTCTCTGTAAATAACTGAAGTGCATAAAGGCATGTTCACTCACAGTTGAAAACTGTCCATTGAAGAAAATTTTGCATATTTTAACCTACTTTGAATTTTGTTTTTATAATTCTATTTGATCTCCAAAGTGACTGATAATTACTACACATCCACTTTCATTCTCATATTTTCCTGCAGAATTATTTGGAATCTGCTTTTCTTTTAGTTGCAAAACTAATGTAATACCCTTTCTAGCAATCACAAAGAAGTGATTTGAATGTGATATCCTCTGTGATATATATGGAGCTTGTCAGCTTGGAAAGAAAAATAATAAGTGTTAGAGAAACCGAGAAATCACAGCCTCCAGACAGGTTACAAGAGGACAGGACAGCTTAATGCCTGAGCAGCTTCACTGG